TAGGAGGTAGGAAAGTATGAGATGCCCCAGAATCATCAGTGAACATCTTATACGAGAGTCACATTACTCAGTATGGAAAGGTGACAAATACTCTAAAATACCAGCTACATATTAAAAGCAAATTCAGATATATTGTTCACTGATTCATTCACCAAAAACTTACTGAGGGCCTACCCCCCATGCATTCAATAGATGTGAACACTGGACAAAGCGTCTGCCCTCATGGAGTTTCCACTCTACAGCAGAAACAGACAATACAGAGATGGGAAATTCAAAGTAATTTCTAAATAACACAGGAAACATCATAGACATTTCAGGCTGGGGAGGAGTAGGCACCACTTAAGCTGTTTGCCTTGATAGCCCCTGTGAGGGTGCACTCACTCGGCCCTAGTACTAAGGGTATTTGGGAGAAAAATACTGAGATGTACAGGGCAGTAGCTAATGTGAGGACCCAGCCCTAGACCCAAGAATTGGGTCGCCGAGTGCCAGAAGAATACCCTTTACACTTCTGCTTAAGAGCAGCGTGTTCCATACTACACATCCCAGGAACACTGGTCCACAGCACATTAATGGATACAGGACTGGTAATGGGTATGCAAAAATAAGAGTTTTATGGATCAAAAAAGTTAGGAAACACTGAGTACTCTATTTCCCTTTGTAGCTGCAGAATGCACATTAGTCTAGTACATGTGCTAAGGAGATCTTAGGAAACAAATCTATTTTTTCCTGTTGTAACTATTTGTTTTCTCTATTTGCTCCAACAGATCCTCTGTGTTTTTGTCCTCTTAGTGACAAACTGTTCTTCATTGAATATAAGATACCACGAATTGTAAGAAGTTCCATTACTTTATTTGCCCATAAGAAAGAAAAAACAAACTCTGCCAATTATAATTGCAATATTTTGTTAGTCATGGGACACATTCTGATTTGAGAGGTGTTAACCTGTGGAAAAATGTGAAACTTAAAATTGTCGAGTAGAATCAGATTTGGTTCTTCGACATGTCAAACTAAGGGGTCCTTTCTTTTCTGAGCCAGGCTATGGGGTGACTGCTTCCTCTTATTGTTTTATTTTGATTACCATGAAATGGATATTGCAGGATGCTAAAGTTGTGGCACAGATAATCTGCCGATCAACAAAGATTTGTGTTCCCATTCCATAGTATAGAATTGATGCTATGGAGTGGTGCCCACCAGTGACTCTGTGTGTGTGTGTGTGAGTTTTGGGTGGGGGTAGGAGGCCTGAAGCTTAGAAGATAGAGAGTCCTTGCAACTGGGCATGGTCTTGGGACTGGTTCTGGCCAGTGGAGTGAGAGCAGAGATGATACACGTCACTTCTGAACAGAGGTAGTTAAGTATCTGTGTGTCTTCTTTTCAGATTCTGCAACAAACTTAGAGGCTGCATTATGGTGCCATAATGAAATAAAAGGAGCCTGGACCCATGAATCATTCTTAGAGTAGCTCCAATTAGGAATATCCTCACTAAGCATTTCATGAGCAAGAAATAAACTTTCATTGTGTTAAGTCACTGAAATTAGGAGGTTGATACAGCAATTGGCCTAACAACACAGGTCAGTTTTGTTCCTTCTTTATTTCTTACTGAATATGCAGTACCTACCAGATAATATCAAACACTTCTTCTAGAACTCTAGTGAAGATGGGATTTCTCCATTGACTGAAAGATTCTGGCTCCTGAGTTGACCTTGCTCCACATGGAGTAGAAAACTAAGTCACTCCCCATGCCCCAGGCTAAGCCTCTACTACTGTGCCTAAGGTGGAATTATTACTGTAAAACAGTAAAAATCACGGGCCCAGGATGGTAACTAACCACCACTGTCTTACTTCATTGTAACACTGCAGGGGTAGGTCCATCAACAAAAACAAATAAGATTTGATAACCGAGGGCTTAATGTTTCTCTTTTGTATTTGATACATATGGTCTGTCTTCTGGAAGAGGTACACAGAACTGAGAAATCTTTGATTAGGGTCACTAGATAATAGTGTGTTAATCCCATGAAAAGGAAGCATCTTTCCAAGGTACTCTCACAAATTCTCCAGTCATAGATTGGAAAATTTTCCAGGAAAACTTCTATAAAACACATCTACTAACATCTCATGGAACATAGTGGAGGAGATTGTCTTGAACCCATTCTTTTAGGCCTCATCTTGACCATCAAGGCGTTTTTCTCTCCAGTGATTGGAAGAAAGAGTATTTGCACCATTACACACTTATATTCCTCTATTCACTTAAGTGCTGTGACCTAGTAAAGGAGTCTAGCTATATCTCTCCTGAAATAGCACACGTTTGTTTCTCCTTCTTAGGTGATGGAATGTGTGTGCGTGTGTGTGTGTGTGTGTAGTAGGGGGTAGGCCAAGAGACTTGAAGTCTAGGCAATACAAGCCCCAGAATATTATTATTAACATGGCATGAGGTAATTCTATCTGCATTTTGGGAAGGTTGTTTGATTTCAGGATAAAGGATAGAGTAGAAGAGTTGAGACACTGGAAGAAGTGAATCTGGACCCTGGGAGTCACATTAAGAATGTACTGCACATTGGGACCGGCCTAGTGGCATACTGGTTAAGTTTCCACGCTCTGCTTCAGTGGTCTGGGGTTTGTGGGGTCAGATTTTGGGTATGGACCTACACACTGCTCATCCAGCCATGCTGTAGTGGCATACCACAACAAAAAAGAGGAAGATTGGCACAGATGTTAGTGGCAATCTTCCTGAAGCAAAAAAAGGAAGATTGGCAATAGATGTTAGCTCAGGGCCAATCTTCTTTACAAAAAAAAAGAGAAGGTAGTATGCTAATCTAGGCCAAGGGAGATGTTCAATGGTAATGCTAATGGAAATGAAGACTGACATTTGAGAATTATTTTATAGGTAAAATCTCTAGGACTTGGTAGAATGTTTTGTTATAAAATGTAGGTTTTATTATTCGGGTGTGGCGAGACCAACAGATCAGGAGACAATTGCCATTGAAAAGATAGCTTATTACTCACATATCCCAAGAGGAGGGGACACGCCATACTACACAGGGCCAATGGGGAAGGAGCACAGGGGCTGTCAGGAGGCAGAAGAAGCAAGGTGAAGGCAAAGGCAGGAGCCTGTATTGTGGTTTCCATGAGAAAGACAGGGTAAGCAGGTTTAGCATTGGCTAGTTTGAATAATTTCAGCAGGCTCTAGGATACAGGCGCTTTCTCCAGTTGTCTGATACCTGGCTGGCTCTGTGATGATTAGGACAGGGCAATATTGCCTCTTAGAGTATAACAGCCAGATGAAGAGGTGGTTCAGAGCACGGGCTTTGAATTGGTTAGTTTGCATATGAAAGGTGTGCTGTAGGACAAATCCTTTGTGATCTCTAGGAACCGGCTAGCCCTGGGAGGGGCAGGCTACCCTTAGTCAGCAAGGCCCCCATGACCGAGCAACAAGAAAACAAGAAGTAAGGAAATATGGTTAACACCCATTTGTTGAGAAATGCAGAAGTCAAAGAGATTTCCATCTTGGATGACCATGTGGAAGTGAAACGTTATTAACTTTCCAGGGAACTAAACTTTATTTAACACCTACTCTGTGCCAGCTGCTGCCCCTAAGACCATTGCATAGTCTCAATTCATCCTTAAAGCAAAATTTTGACGGGGGGACTATTTTTAGTTTAATTTTACAGCTGTGGTGAAGAAGTCTGCAAGAGTTTGTGCTCAGTCCTCTACGATGTGCTTGCTCACGGCTTGCTTTTAGATATGCTGGATTTGAGGTGCCTGCGGGACATCTTGGTAGAGCTATCTAGGACACAATAGCAGTAATACGCCCACCTTAAACTATGTTCTTGTTTAACAGAAACATACACTGCGCTTGCTACATCCCGGACACTGTCCTAAAAGCTTTACAAATGCCAGCTTGTTTAATGTCATCACAATACTTTGAGGTACACATTATTATCCCCATTTTATTCATATTTTTAATCATCATAATAGCTACCGATTTATGGAATATACCGATGAACCATGCACTAGACTAAGCATTTTACGTAAATTAACTTAATTCAATCATGCAAGACAAATGTGATTGTCTCCATTTTAAAGACCAAGAACTAAGGCTTAGTGGCTTGTATCATTTGACGACGGTCATATGTCTTTATTTTTATAAATTTTATAGATGTGCACTTCTGTTCTAATTAAAAACTATGATCCCATTTTACGGACCAGAAATTTACGGTCTGTAGTGTAAGGGACTTGACCAATGCCACATGACCATAAATCACCCAGCCTGGATGTGAATTTCAGTGTATTTGATCCTTCATTCCAACCTTTTCCCAATATTCTTGTACTTTTCAAACTGTGTTTCACTGGGGCTTTATTTTCAATCAGTTTTATAAATGTGAGTTTCTTTACAAGATTTCACAAGATTGGACAGCCCTGTGGGCTAAATCCTGTCCCCACAAAATTCGTGTGTTGAAGTCCTGACCCCTGTCGCTCGGAGTGTGACTGTATTTAGAGTATGGCCTTCAAACGAATAATTAAGGAAAAATGAATTCACATGGGTGAGCCCTAATCCAATAGGACTGGTGCCCTTATCAGAAGAGGAGATTAGGGCACAGACACACACGGGGGAAGACCATGTGAGGACACGGGGAGAAGATGGCCATCTCAAAACCAAAGAAAGAGCCTGCGAGGAAATCGACCCTGCTTGGCACCTTGATCTTGGACTTCTCGCCTCCAGAACAGTGAGGAAATAAATTTCGGTTGTTTAAGCCCCCAGTTTGCAGTACTTTGTTATGGCAGCCCCAGGAAATTAATATAGACAGTAACTTTCCACTGCTAAAAGAAAATTGAAGTCACCATCCTAAGTAGTTACATAAACGGTTGGACTGGTCTGATTATTTTCCTGAGTTCACTTACCCCCCAGGTCAGATGACTCCCTGGGATAAAAGCCAGCTTCCTCTCGCGTCACTCCAGCCCCTGGTCTGCGAACATTTTCTTCTTCTTCTAACTTCCCCTCCTGTGACGAGGAAGATAAATATTAGAGAAACAAAAGTCCAGAATGCTAAGGCTGCCACTCTCACTTCCTCTGGCCCCTTAAGCCAGCACTGCTTTGAATACAGTCATTACCGTGGGGCACCGAGCGGGGGAGAGAACACAGCAGCAGCTCCGAGGCTGCCCTGGCGGGCAGGCTGTTACGGTGCGTCATGCTTTCACAGGGCCCCTTCTGGGCACAGAAAATGCCAGGATGATGCCGCCCACCCGCCTGGCTGGGACTCTGATCCCAGCCATGGCCTTCCTCTCCTGCCTGAGACCCGAGAGCTGGGACCCTTGCGTGCAGGTATGTGGTGGGGTCAGCTCATCTCTTGTGAGCTTCCCCGTGCTTCTGAAAAGCTGCTCTCTGCCCAGAACGTGCCGCTACGGGCCCTGGTTAGTTTCACTTACTAAAAGGATTCAAATTACTGGAAAGACTTGAGAAGGCACAGGGACCAAATAATTTGCGGTTGCCGGGCATTAACAGGCAGCCCATGGGGTAAGATCCTATTTAGGACTTTAAGTGCTAATAGGGGCTTTAGGTCAGATAGAACTGTGTAAAATAACTGTTCTTCAACTTCTGGGCTGTGTGACCTTGAAGAAGTTACTAAACCTCCTTTCAGACTAGTTCTCACACCTATAACATCATGATAATAATGCCTTGTTCAGTAGAGAGCTGTAGGAAGGCTGCTGCCTGTCACTGCTTCCCACTGTTGCTTTGTACACTCAGCTTCGAGCAGTCACTGCCCCTTTCAATCTCAGGGAGAAGATGGTTTTCCGTTTCTTAATAGAAAGAACTTTCGAAGTGGATTTCAGACTTCTGAATCTAGTCATAGTTCTGTCTAAAGGATGAAAAGGAAAGAGATGGGAGAAAAAAAGGAGAGAGAGAGAGAGAAAGAGGCACTGAGAGATAAGGAGAGAAGGAAAGAAAAGAGAGGGAAAGATGTAAAATGTCTGCTAATCCAGGGGTTTCTTTCTCTGTGAAACACCAACCGGCTGGCTGGGAATCTCATTCGTGCTGGGTCTCTCTTGTTTTCCCCTGCGTGGACTTCACGATGGCTTTGGCAGCCTGTGAGGGAACCAAACAGCCAAAAGATTGTCCTGGGACTTAGGGTGTGGCAGGGTTAGAAACAAGAAAAGCAAAACCAGCCCAAGTCCTGTAAGTTGAGGACATGGGAAAATAGCGTCCGTTAATATGTCCCAAAAACAAATTTGTCCTCTGTTCCCCAGTTCCCTGCTTCTCATCCTCCTCTCTGTGCCCCTTTTGCTGTGAGGTTAATGGGCATTGATCCTCCAATCAAGGTCACCTCCACTCTTGGCTCCTCCCTCTCTCCACGCCCTCTAGTCTCTCAGTCTCCAAAGCCTGCCCAACGTTGCCCATCCCTCAGTGGCACCCAAGGGCAGGTGCTCCATTCCCCTGGCCTTGACTCTTGGATACTGACTGGTCCCCAGACTCCATAGCCAGCTTCCTTTAATCCGCTCTGCAGATTTCTGTTTGTTGTTTATTTGTTGTCGTTGTTTTTCCTGAGTCTCCGTTCTAACAAATTACCCTTCTTAAAAACTTATAATAACTCTCCGCTGCTATCAGGACCACTTCCTACCTCAGGGCCTTTGCACTGGCTATTTCCTCTAGCTTAGAATGCTCTTCCCCTAGGTCATTGGTGCCCTATGGTAATATCATGTGGGCCACATGATATTATTTAAATTTAAATAACAAATTTAACTGAGTTTTGATTTAACTGACTTAATTAAATTTTAACTAAATTAGGTATTTAAAACATAGCTTTAAATCTTCTAGTAGGCACGTTAAAAAAATAAAAAGAAAAAGGTGAATTTAATTTTAATAATATTTTTATTTAACCCAGTATATTCAAAATATTATTTCAAAATGTAATATATACTAAACTATTAATAGGCTATTTTACATTTTTTCTTTGCTTCTAAGTCTTTGAGATTTAGTATACATTTTACATTTACCGTATGTCTCAGTTTAGACTATCCACCTTTCTCGTGCTCAACAGCTGTGTGTAGCTAGTGGCTACCATATTAGACAGTGCAGCCCTAGATAGTTTCATGGCTTAATCCCTCCCTTTATTCAGATTTCTGCTTCAATGTCATCTCCTCCAGGAAGTCTTCCTTGATCACCACATATAGAACTCCCCACCTCACATATTTTTTTCTCTAATTTCCTGTGTGGCTTTATCTTTTTTAATAGCACATCATTATTCATTTTCTGATTTTTTTTGTTCATTGTTTGTCTTCCTCTTCAAAATGGAGTCTGTAAGAGGGCAAGATCGTTGCTGATTTTATTTATCACTATATCCCAGCACCTAGCACATAGTAGTTGCTCAATTTATGTGTTAAGTGATGAAAAGTATTGCCACAGGACAAGGCACGAGCCCCTCTTGATCTGGCTCTTGCTTCCCCTCTGACTTTAGTTTCATCACTCCCACCAGCTGTTAGCTAATCTGAAAAAGTTTTGCACCCCTCCTTCCATGGTTCTCTCCTTTTTCCTCTTTCCATGTATCCAAATCTTACTCATCCTGCAAGACCCACTTGGAAATCTTCTCTTTCTCAGAAGCCTCCTCCAATCCCTGGATCCAGAATTGATGTCTACCTTTTCTGAACCAAAAGAAATTTTTCCCAAGCCTGGTTAATGGTCCTTCTCAGTGGTGTGAGTTGTACCCCTCTCTGAACCCTTATCTAGGTTGTGAGCTCATTGTAGTCTGGAGCCACATCACGTTGGTCTCTGTACTGCCCACAGCACTTAGCAGAAAAGGTGTGCAATTTGGATTTAAACAAAACTCCATTCCATCAATTATTCATTCACTTATTCGGCAAATATTTGTTAAGCCTCAGCCGTTTGCCAGACACCATTCTGAGTGCTGGAGACCTAGCAGAGAGCAAGACTATCAAAGCTCACAATCTAGTGAGAGAAATGAACAATACACATGGAACAGCCACATGGGCAACGTCACGTGAGACAGTGATACATCCTATGAATGAGGATAAAAGAGGGTAAGGAAGAGGTCCTGGCATCATCCTCTATTAGACAATGTCTGGGAGGCTCCTATGAAAGTAACATTTACGCAGACATATGAATGATGTAAGGAACTGCACAGATGGCCTGTGGGACTATCTGCATATTACTTCATCTCTCATCTCTCTGAATTCTTCTTCTTTAAAAGATTTATTTGAGGATTAAATTAAAGCATATACTATATAAGAAATGTGCCAACATATAGTAAGGGATTAATAATAGCCAATAATAATCAATGTTAACATTTCTTGATCATTTACACTCTAATAGGCTTTGAGATCATCTCTTTAAACACCTTATCTCATTGAATCCTTTGAACAGATTCTATTGGTTTTTAAGCAACAGAAAACTAAAATTAGCTGAGTTTAAGCAAGGAATTTTGTTAAAGAAATTAGAGAATTCAGAAATTAAGTGGGAGGATAGAGAATAAGACTTATAAAGAATTTGGGAAAGTATGATAGAAACCAGCACAGGAACCAAGGCAGCATATAGCACTTGACCTCATTTACTAGCGTCCACCACTGGAGTCCATGCACACCAAAGGTTTCTCCCCATTTCTAGATCACTTGCTCGAAGTACAATGAGCCAAGGGAGAGAATGCAATTGGCAAAAATTGAGCAATGACCAAGGGAGGTCTAGACACCTTGACTAGCAGTCTCCCCAAGGCTGTACACTGTGAGAGGGGAGAGATGGTATTTAGGGAAAAAAAAAAAATACAACCTTGCCCCAAATCACATGGAAGAGCTTGGGGTGAAACCCTGAACTTTTGGACTCCAGAGCCTCAGCTCTTTATCACTTGACTCCACTGCTTCTTGCTAGATACTACCATTGTTATAGTAGAAGTTAGACCACTGGGTACATAGTAAGTGCTCTTTCCTTAATTAATCTAGAGTAAGATGTTTAATAAGTATGAAGTGAATGGATAAATGAATGGATGGATGGATGGATAGATGAACAGATGGCCAGATGGAGGACTGAATGGATGGATGGATGGATGGATGGATGGATGGTTGAAAGAAGGTTGACTGGATGGATGGATGGATAGATGAGTGGATGGCCAGATGGATGACTGGAAGGATGGATGGATGAAAGACTGACCTTTGTGCTTGTACTAGAAGCCTCCCAGACCCTGGCTCAGGAGAAGGGAGATAAAAGGGCAGTCTATTGAGGTACATGCAGTATGACACTGCATCTAACGTATGATTATTGCAGGTGGTTCCTAACACTACTTACCAATGCATGGACCTGAATCTCTACAAAATCCCTGAGAACATCCCCACATCAACCAAGGAACTGGACCTGAGCTTTAACCCCTTGAAGGAGTTAGGCAGCCATAGCTTCTCCAACTTCCCAGAACTGCAGGTGCTGGATTTGTCCAGGTAATTAATGAGCTTTTGTACCCTACACAAGGTGAAATGTTTACTGTTCTGTCATTTTATTCTTAAGCCAGAAAGCCTGGTTGGTGGAGTCTCATCTTCGTTCACTCTTTCTTTCATTTAGTAGATGTCTTACTTGCTATGCAACTCTGGACAAGCCACCTCCCATCTCCAAGTCTCAGTTTCTTTATCTGTGAGATGAGCACTTGGATGAGAGGTAGTTTCTAAGGATAATTCTATCTTTCAATTTTCTTGTAAGTCAGGAGAGAAAATTGTCTCAAGTTCTTTCATCAGTAGATATTATTGACGACTTGCCATATGCCGTGCACTTTGCTAGGAAACAAGAGTATGTTGATATCTAACAACCCCAGCTATCAAGGAGGGCATATCCACTTGAAAGAGTTAATATGTTAAAATCCTAAGCATGGTGCTGGGCACATAGTAGGAATTCAATAAATTATTACCTGGTTCTGATTTTGGATTTTGAACCTGAGATAAGGATGGTAATATATAGCAGCAGGTGATAAGCTATGGGCAAACTGGAGGCAACACATGGTGTTGTTCAGAAGAGGGGCCTTGTCTGTGGTGGGTAGTCAAGAAAGACTCCTTGAAATAAATGGAATTCAAATACTGTCTGGAATATTGAAGGTGGAGTAGAGGATAGGGAATTAAGAAAATACAAGTAACCCAAGGAGAAAGATGACAAGATCAAAGGAGAAGATCTGACGTGGGCATGGAACATGACTACAGTTTTCTTCTCTGATGCAGAGAATATAACATTCATTAGGACAGGTTAAGTTATTGGCATTATTTTGGGGGGAAATTGAACCCTAAAGTTGTTTTCATCATCAGGGGACTTATTTAAAAAGGGATTAGATAATGGACCATATTCTCTGTAAGAGTGTATGAAAAATGCAGAAACATTTTATACCTAGTTTTTTTATAATAGAAATTCTTAATAAAGACTAAGAGCATAGTAGGAAAATCCTCTTTCAAGCAGATATTTCTGCAGAAGAGTGAGCATCTGAGGTTTTATGCTCTAACTCGGATATTGATGGAGTATAACAAAAGGAAGATGGAGCATCTTAAAGGCAATGGTGTAGATCATAGAGCCCTGTGGGGGTCAGAAGACCTGAGCCAGGGCCTCCTCCACCATTTATGACCATGCGGCCTGAGGCACATCACTTCATCTCCCTGAGTCTCAGTTTTCACATCTGTGAAATGGAAATGATGGAATTGCCCACAGGTTAAATGTGATCATGAATGTTAACATGCTATATATATATTAAAAAGATTATAAAGTATACTTTATAAGTATAAAATATTATTATAGCATTTCATTAGATTCTAAATTTCAGTTTTCTAAGGTAGACAGACCATCCTTTCCCCTTTTCTAAACAACAGGTAGTTTCTCATCAAAAAAGCTCCCTTATAATTCATCTTCCATCCACCATGTACCCAAGGAACTTCCCTCCGAGGCCTTAAATATGTGCTTAGAGGCCAGCGCCCCCTCTGCTCAGCCAGTAGGAGATTCTGAATCAGGGCAAGGACAGACAATAGTACAATAGCTATCCTTTGCCTTTTCATGTTGCTTCACAGTGTTCACATACAGTAACTCAATTAGTCCTCTAAGTATGCTTTGTGATAGATCAAACAGCCCTTTCTTTCCTATGGAAACCTATTGATATATTTTTTCCTTTTTATAGATGAGGAAACTGAGGCTTGGAGAGTTCGAGTGATCTACCTCCATTCACATAGCCTGTTGGCAACAGCCCAGAGATTTAAGTTCACATCCCCTGCTTCCAAGTTAAATGTTCTCTTCATCTTAATACTCTGCTTCTCTAAAGGGATGAAGCCCCTTTGATGACACAGAGCCACAGCAAGACCCCTCTGGCCTTGCCTGATGCATGGATCAATATACATATAAGATTATGGGCTATAAAGTCATACACCTGAAAGGAACTTGAGAAATAACCAAGTTTAGCTGCCTCGTTTAGAAACGTGATAACTGTGGCCCAGACAGGAAAAGGAGTTCCCAAGATGGCATGGTAGAGAGATCAACAGAGGCACCAGAACTCAGAGGTCTTGCCCCCTCTTCTTTCATTCTTTCTACTGCACCCACTACCCTCTATGCAGTTATCAACCAATAGCAAAAGCTTGGACCGAAATGCTTATTTTACCCATAAACCTCCTGAAGGGGATAGAGCAAGTGGGGAACACTGCACACATAATGCAGGTTGGACTAGGAGAGGACTCATTTGCAAACTGTACCTGGCATACACTTCTAGTGCCAGCAAGAGTTTACCATGAGCTCATGGTTAGTTGGCTAGATGAGAGCCTTGACTCTAGGATACCTCTATGAACATTGCATATTGCACGGTTTCCATTTCTCTTGGGATAAAATTCAAAATCCTTTATCTGATCTGCAAGCCTCTGCCTTCTTTGTAACCTCCTTTCTCTACAACCCCAACTCACAGCCCTCCACATCCCTCTCTGTACTCCAGACCTAGAAGCTGTTTCTCACCGTTCCTCCACATATCATAGCTGCTGCCTACCTGGGGCTTTTGTATCTGCTCTTTAGCTCTCTTCCTTTTCTTGTTAATTCCAACGCATCTTTCAGATTTCAACTTATGTGTTTTCAGAGAAGCCTGCTTTAGTCCTCCTTGTCTACATCTCTTGATGTAAATTCTCTCTTTTTTATATCTTTGAGATTGACGTTCACCAGACATTTATCATGCCTAACAACTAATGACTATCTGTATCATCTTTAGTAATTGGATGTCTAATTGTAATTTGTGTGGCAGGAAATGGTTAAAGCTGATCCAAGGCTGTTACATACTCTATCAGCCACACAATCTCCCTGTGTCCCAATGATTAATCTTTAACTGATTTCCTTCTGATGGATGTGCTGCCTCTGCTTAGCATGTGTGCTAGTGTGATAAAAAGAGTTTGTCATTGTGGCCAGTGTGACAATCCCGAATCTTCAGAGCTTCTTATTTGCTCATTCTATCATCTGCTTTGCTTGATATCTTTACGTATGTACAGTCATATAGCATGTCACATATGTGTGAAGAGCTGGGATTGTTATTCCATTTTGGGTTTTTATTCAACAGAAGTATTATATAATCTGTATCTCCTTTCCTGCAGGTGTGAAATTGAGATGATTGAAGATGATGCATATCAGGGCCTCAACCATCTCTCCACCTTGATATTGACAGGAAATCCTATCAGGAGCTTAGCCCTGGGAGCCTTTTCTGGACTCTCCAGTTTACAGACGCTGGTGGCCGTGGAGACAAAGCTTTCATCTCTAGAGAAGTTCCCCATTGGACATCTCAAGACCTTGAAGGAGCTTAATGTGGCTCATAATCTTATCCATTCCTTCAAGTTACCCGAGTATTTTTCTAAAATGCCCAACCTGGAGCACTTGGACCTTTCCAATAACAAGATCCAAAATATTTCTCATGAAGACTTGCGTGTGCTACATCAAATGCCCTTACTCAACCTTTCTTTAGACTTGTCCCTGAATCCTTTAGAGTTTATCCAACCAGATGCCTTTAAAGAAATTAAGCTCCATAAACTGACTTTGAGAAGTAATTTTGATAGTATAGATGTAATGAAATCTTGTATTCAAGGACTGGCTGGTTTAAAAGTCAATCGGTTGGTTCTGGGAGAATTTAAAAATGAAAGGAAATTGGAAAGATTTGACACATCTGCCCTGCGCGGACTGCACAATTTGACGATTGAAGAATTCCGGTTAGCATACATTGATAATTACAGCTCAAAGGATTCTATTGATTTACTTAATTGTTTGGCAGATATTTCTAAAATTTCTCTGGTGAGTCTGGATTTAGGCAATCTAAAAGATTTTCCTAAAGGTTTCGGATGGCAAGACTTCGAATTGGTTAACTGTAGAATTGAAGGATTTCCCACATTGGAGCTCACCTCTCTCAAAAGGTTGGTTTTCACTTCCAACAAAGATATGAAATCTTTTAATGAAGTTAAGCTACCAAGCCTTGAGTTTCTAGATCTCAGCAGAAATCGCTTGAGTTTCAAGTCCTGCTGTTCTGAGGCTGATTTGAAGACAACCAGACTGAAGCATTTAGATCTGAGCTTCAATGATGTTATTTCCATGAGTTCAAACTTCATGGGCTTAGAGCAACTAGAACATCTGGATTTCCAGCATTCCACTTTGAAACAGGCCAGTGATTTTCCAGTATTCTTATCCCTCAAAAACCTCCGTTATCTTGATATTTCTTACACTAACACCCGAGTTGTCTTCCATGGCATCTTTGATGGCTTGGTCAGCCTCCAAGTCTTGAAAATGGCTGGCAATTCTTTTAAGGACAACTTCCTTCCAAATATCTTCAGAGAGATGACTAACCTGACCACCCTGGACCTTTCTAAGTGTAACCTGGAACAGGTGTCCCAGGAGGCATTTTGCTTACTCCCTCGACTTCGGGTGTTAAATATGAGTCACAATAACCTCCTGTTCTTGGATATGCTTCCTTACAAACCTCTCCATTCCCTCCAGATTCTGGATTGCAGTTTTAATCGTATTGTGGCCTTCAAGTGGCAAGAACTGCAGCATTTTCCAAGTAGTCTAGCTTCCTTAAATCTTACTCAAAATGACTTTGCTTGTGTTTGTGAATACCAGAGTTTTCTGCAGTGGGTCAAGGACCAGAGGCAGCTCTTGGTGGAAGTTGAACACTTGGTGTGTGCAATACCCTTACAGATGCGGGGCATGCCCGTGCTGGGTTTTAACAATGCCACCTGTCAGATTAGCAAGACTATCGTTGGCGGGTCGGTTTTCAGTATACTCATGGTTTCTGTCATAGCAGTTCTGGTCTATAAGTTCTATTTCCACCTGATGCTTCTTGCTGGCTGCAAAAAGTATGGGAGAGGTGAAAGCATCTATGATGCCTTTGTTATCTACTCAAGCCAGGACGAAGACTGGGTGAGGAATGAATTGGTAAAGAACTTGGAGGAGGGGGTGCCCCCCTTTCAACTCTGCCTTCACTACAGAGACTTCATTCCTGGTGTGGCCATCGCCGCCAACATCATCCAGGAAGGTTTCCACAAAAGCCGGAAAGTTATTGTCGTGGTGTCCCAGCACTTCATTCAGAGCCGATGGTGTATCTTTGAGTATGAGATTGCCCAGACCTGGCAGTTTCTGAGCAGTCGTGCTGGCATCATCTTCATCGTCCTGCACAAGCTGGAGAAGTCCCTGCTCCGGCAGCAGGTGGAGCTGTATCGCCTTCTCAACAGGAACACTTACCTGGAGTGGGAGGACAGTGTCCTGGGGCGGCACATCTTCTGGAGACGACTCAGGAAAGCCTTGCTGGATGGTAAACCGTGGAGTCCAGCAGGAACAGCAGATGCAGCAGAAAGCAGACAACATGATGCAGAAACCTCTACCTGAGGAGGAAAAACTCCTGAGGTGCTTCTTGCCCAGCTGGACCCAATACTTGTTCAGTTAACAACTATTAAATGCTGCAACATACCAGGCATTGTGCTAGGGGCAGGTGATTCTGTCGTGCACAAGATACACAGGACTGCTAATCCCTTTGAGTTTACAGTGCAGAGGGAATAAATGCCGTGCTAAAATACAGAACCTCCAGGGGGATGTTTTAACCAAGTCAGCTAAGGAGTCCGTGCCAGGGAAAGTCAACTCAACTCTTACCCCATCAAAATGAATCAGAACTGAGAGACTGGGCCCCAGTGAGTTCAGAAAAGGACATCGTCTCCCAAGTCTTTTGAATGGAAACCATCTCATCTTTGACATCTTAGCCATCCTAAAACAAAACAAAGCAGTTTTGGTACTTTCAACTGAACAGCGTCTCTGTTCAATTTTCCCTTTTCTACTGAACACAATTTAAATTTTACTTGATGACTCAGAAGGCTCCTGATTCAGATCCTCCCTCCTCTTTAAGGCAGTTTCCTTATGAAGGTTAAACTCTTACGACTAATTCCTAAGGAAATCTGATTAATACATATTCACAAACATCCTGGTCATTCTTTAGCGTGCTCTATTTATTAATAAATAGCAGGTTCTATTTATTTAGTCCCTGATATATCTTTGTTTTTATAAGTCCAGTTCTCATTTTTCACGTCTTCTCTATAAACGCTTATCATAAATAAGGTTTTTAGAGAGAGACATGTTAGAAATATCCATATTTAACCACTATCTTTCAAGCAAATATGTAAAATACACTCTGTCACTTTAGTACTTGATGTCATCCTGAAGTTATTGCCTACTAAGTTACGGCCGTCATGAAGGTAACATTAAAATAATTTGGTTGAAAGTGGCACTTATTGTAATAGATGGAGACAAGTCCAACTTCCTGGTCTTATAATGAGCAATTTGGGCCAGAGGCAGGGCAAGAGGTAGGATGACCTCAGGAGGTCAGCTCTTCTTGATGATCCCAGAAACATATGGGCTGATATGGCTGGGGTGACCACATGACAACAGTGGCAACAAAGGTTTCTTCTACAGCAAGTGAGTATTGTTTGATGGGACATTGAATCTCTCAGGGGATTGTGAAATGGTTCAAGGTGGGGAGCACACATTGCTGCTTCCTGTTGGGTATCACTCCATAACAACATTGAGGAAAGAGTAGACTTTATCACTGAGAAAATGATGTCCTTCACGTTAAGGTGGGTCACGTCAGGGGAGTTCTCAGAAAAGCACACTCATCCAACTGTCCCAGAATGGGCACGTTCAAAGAAAGAGCAATGAGGACGTTTGGAAAACACAGTTGTCAAAAACTGGAAATATGGTCACACTCAGGAGTGTGTTTGTGACTGAGTGTTTCAGAGCGTATTTTGGTCTGAACATGGTTGGAGTTGCTGAACACACCTGGGTGCATTTATAGGTCTTACATGCTAGCGAAAGAGGATGTATGTATTTGTGTACATGCCTCTACATGTTCCCGTCCACGTTTGTGTGTACGCAAGAGCGTGTGTGTCTGTATGATCTTGTCTGCATGGAAGAGAGTGTGATTGTATTGTAAGGGGAATATGTGCATTTGATCGGGATGTCTACGGCTGCTTCAGAGAGGTTCTCTACTTTTAGTTTGTACGTGATTGCTTATATACAAATGTCTGCATAGCATGGGTAGGTCCAGGCTATATGTGAGTGCGCCCATGTTCATATTGTGTATGCATTCTGCAGATGTGTGTTAGTTCTAAGAAACATGCAAGACTCCAAGGAGGAAAGTCACAATACAACTGTTTCCTGTATACAGAACTGATACTGGCCTCCTTCCCATTAGTCCCCTCTCCCAGATAGGAATGCCCAAAATGGGAATTCTCAAAAGAAGTTGAAGTAGACAAGGAAAGAAAGAAACAACATGACAGAAACAGAAGGAGAAGAAAGAGGAAAGTCAGGCCTAGGAATAGGTCCTTTGAATCCACTGAAATTCTCTGGATTAAAGAGAGATGAAGACTGGAAGTGAGGGAAATTCATACTACTTAGAATGCCTTAAATTTGCGTAATACCCTACAACTTGGAACATATTCACATAATTATAATCACATTTAAATCTCTTCTTCTCCAGGTGAGTTAGCAGGTTAAGAATTAGTTTCCCTATTTTACTGACATGAAACGTGAAGTTCAAGGAAGTAAATTTATTGCTGATAGGCCACAGAAGAAACAAGTGGCAGGGCCTGAAGTGGGCCTCCAGCCTTGCAGGGCAGCTCGCTTTCCACTCTACCTCATTGCTTCAGGCTTAAAGTTGGCAAAACGAGAAGTGAAACCCTTGCCGTCCTCCGTGTGGTTGACTCTAGTCAAGGGTTTTTCACTGAAACCATGAATCATTAGGCAAATACATATGCATATATATATTATATATACTGAATGATTTACTTATAACACATGTCTTTCCATAAAGGACATGAAGGAGATTCAAACCAAGTACACAGGGACATAAGATTGGTAGAACTAGAAAATCTGGACAAAGAACAAAAAAATCTGGACAAAAAGAGGCAAGAAAGACACTCAGAGTAAACTTCAGTGCAGTGTTCTCCTGTCTTAATTGCCGAGAGACCCCCCGGGGTTTTGGATGGTGTGGCTTTTAGAGAAAGCTCACCTGCAGCACTTCCCGTGTGTGCCTTGCACTTCACATCTCTGAGAGTCCAGCTAACTCAAATATAACATGAGGGTCAAATCTTAGTCTGTAAAGCTGTTGTAAGCATCAGAGATAATATATGTTCAATACCAGGGACACTTTTTATGGGTGAGTAATCCTCTGGGACTTTATAAGAGGGCACAGGGAGAAGTATTGAGTGTTCTTTTTCAATAAGAGCATTTTAGTAACTGCTGTTTTCCCAGCCTGTGGGAGCACAGGAGGGCTGCAGCTGTCATTAGGCAGTTTCTTTCTGACTCGGCCTCTACCCTTGGGGTTGTCAGAAACCCAGCCTCCTTCTGGACTGTACAACCTTTCTAGAAATCTAGAATTTCCTGGAGGGTCTTGTGTGAACTCACAAGAGTCCTTGCAAGAGTGACAGAGCTCCGTGATGGCAGAGAGCCTGTCTGTACATCCTCTGCCTCCCCAGCCCAGAGCTCCACTGCTGCACGTGGTAGACAGACACACCTGTTTAACTGAAGAACCAATGACTGAGTGAAGAATCATCTCTACAAGGTTATCGTCCTCTGTGCCTCCCAGTCAAGGCCACTACGTTCCAGACCAGAGTTCTCTGCTGCCCATGCGGCCCCTGGGACTCTACACTTCCACAGCTGTCTCCTGTTTTGTCTGCGTGGATGTTCTCAACCACGGCCTCCACTCGGCTCCTTAACTCCAAGTATTCCAAAAGTTAATTTGCAGAAGCAAGGAAGAGGATTTCTCTTATAATAGTCATCCTTAATGGCTATTTTTATGCCTTATGGTACTCCTTTATGTAGGATATTTAATTTAGATTTCTACTCCATGTCTAAGAATGGGCACTAGTAATATCAGCATTATTATCCATAGGAAACAAAGACTCAGAGACTGTAAGTAACCTATCCAAAGTCACACAGCTAGTAAATGACAAAAGTGGGATTTAAACCCACTCTGATATTAAAAGCCAACTACGTTAGATGCTTTCTCTAATGCCTTCGTCCTATTTCTTACAGAACTTTGAATGTTACTCCTCTTTGTTTTCATTTTCTCTTTGCTATGGTGGGGGTTCAACTCTAGAACCCAGATATAAAGGTTGAGCCGAAGGATGGGTGTTGGGCTGAAGGATGAGCTGTGTAAGAGACATCAGGCAGTGCTGGAAATCAACCATTTGCTCCGACAGTGATAGACTAAGCCTTTACCACTTCAATTCTCTTTCCCAACTGAGTAAATTCTTTTCCATGAGGCTCCCAGGACTTTCATGCAAATAGGCCCATCCAAAGGGCCTTCCAGTTAGGCCCAACTGTTTCTGTATTTATAGCAATGCCCACCCATCCTTCACTCAGTGATCCTTTCTGCCATATGGTTTTAAATAAGACTTCCTTTCAATGTCTTCGTTAAATGGCAGGGATGTGTCACTGGAAATCAACTTGAAAGAAGGTTTAGCTGATACAGTCTGGGTTCACTGACTTTAGCGATGCCCCTTGACACAGAATTTCAGTTGGACTGTCCGGAGGAGGAGCAACACAGCATGCCCCTTGGACTGAATTTTCTCCTGGCACCATTAGTCTCCTTCTTTTAGCTTGGCTAAATGAGAGGACCCAAATCACTGAGAGGTTGAGACTTAAAATTTCAACCTAGGACCTAGAATGCTAATATTTTACCAACTGAAGAAGAATATAGATGCTTTGAAAAATCAGGAGTGGCTGGAAAGTTTGGCTTGTTATATTCTTCCCATGGAGTATTCTAGCTCTTGTTACTAAATATAGGGGGTGCAGATTAAAAAAAGCCTCTTATATGGACTTCTTTATGTAGCTACTAGTCTAGCAGATGCATACATCAGACTTGGGTTTGCACCCTGGTTCTGCCACACCTTCACAATATAATTTTGAACGAGTTTCTAAATCTCTTTAATTTCAGTTTGTTTTCTTGAATAGCATGAATAAATCTCTCCTATGCCACAGAGCTACTATAGGATAAAATAGAGAATGAAGGGGAGGCACAGCACAGCTCTAAATTTACCTACTTGAAGGGGCTGCCTTAAGAACAGGAAATATCCAAAGCCTGGTATGAAGTTGACATGGAAACCTGGAATCCTGAAAGTCTCTAAGACAGGCAGTCTCATACCCATAGTCAAACTCAGAGATTCGACTCTCAGGGAGCGAGAATGGAGAGAGAAAGCAGGGTCCCAGCTCTGAAGGATACCCTGGATTACAGATGCTGCTGCTGGAATTTGCAAAGGGGCAAGAGCCATACTCTGTTCGTTTATAATGGAGCACAATCCTGGTGCAGTGGACAATGAACTACCTGGGAGAGTGGAAACTGAGATCTGGTCCCGGCTCTCCATTTACTTGTTATGTGATCCTGGGCAAGTCATTCAAATGCCTTGAGACTCAGATTCCAATACCTAAAGTGGGGATAATAATACCTTCTTGGCAGACCTCACTTGGCTGTAATGATAACGTTGACAATAATAACAATAACTACCTTTAATGGAGCAATCATTTTGTGTAAGGGCTTTATATGTGCTGTCTCATTTATTTTATTTTGTCACATCAGTGAATTAGGAAGATACTAATTATTTCCAATTTACCAATGAGGAGACTGACACTTGGATTCATTCTATAATGTATCCGAGGTCACCTGCTAATAAATGGCAGCTCTGAGGTTAGGTTGTAGGTCCAATTCCACTGCACAGTCAGGACTTTTAAACACTGTACTACGCCCAGAGCACTCTGCTCTCACAAAAATTCATAAACATCGTATCTCACCATTATAATTTTGATTGGCATCAACTAAAGAGAATTATTACTATTGTTACTTAATGATATTACTATTACAGCCATAAGAGCCTGGGAAAAAGTAAATCAAAGATAAATGTGATTAAAGATTTTTAACAATAGACAAATCAGGCCCACCAGATGATGGCCTTCCTGTAAACAACACGCTTAGGTTGCTGTCTCATTGCTCTAGTCGATCTGACCTCCTGATGAGAAACACAGACCTGTGATTGAACACAGAGGTTGCAAGGGGAAGTTCCAAAAGCTAAGGACTTTCCAGATGGTTGGCATAACATCATATACTCTGGGCTCTGTTATGGAGATCGCCAAGCTCTTCAACTCAAAGTCAAAGCTACGGAGTAAGTGGCTGATCAAAAAGGACCAGATACATTGGACACCACGTTTGCTCATCTGATACTGACACTG